CTTTTGCAAGGCACTGTACATATACAGTATATACACTTACAGCCAGGAAAGTCCTACAACATCCAGAGACTTTAGCTAGTCAGGACGGATGTCATCCACTCCCGGAGCCTTGCCACCAAGGAGGCTGCCAACCACCTTGGTGACCTCAGCCAGGGAGATGGAAGCATCCACCCCAACATCCTCAGCCTCCGAAACGGAAGACGTGAAGGGGGATTGAGGAGAACCTCAAACTATTCCTTCCACCGCCTGACAATATCCCCAGTCGAGGTCAGTAGCTCTCCACCCACACCGTACGAGGTGTTGGCAAAGAACTGCTTCCCCCTCCTAAAGCGCCGGACGGTTTGCCAGAATCTCTTCGAGGCCAACCGATAGTCATGCTCCATGGACTCTCCAAACTCCTCCCTGTCCCGGGTTTTTGCCTCTGCAACAGTCCGGGCAGCGACGCGCTTTGCCTGCCGGTACTGGACAGCTGCCTCGGGAGTTCCAAGAACCATCATGGCTCGATAGGACTCCTTTATCAAGCCTGACGGTATCCCTTACTACCCGTGTCCACCACCGGGTTCGGCCGTTGCCGCCGGGACCAGCACCAGAGACCTTGCGACCACAGCTTCGAGCTGCTGCATTGGCGATATAGGTGGAGAACTCAAACTTGATGTCCCCCTCCTCCCCTGGGACCTGGGAGAAGCTCTCCCGGAGGTTAGAGTTGAAAGTCCGTCTGACAGGGGGCTCAGCAAGGCGTTCCCAGCAGACCCTCACTACATGCTTGGGTTTGCCAGGTCTGACCGGCTTCCTCCCCAGCCAGCGGATCCAACTCACGACCAAGTGGTGATTAGTTGACAGCTCCGCCCCCTCTTTACCCGAGTGAGAGCCCAAGCTGTGTGTGGAGGTGAGGCCGACAATCTTTAGTCGGTATCGCTCAACTTCCCCCACGAGCTCGGGCTCCTTCCCCCCCAGTGAGGTGACGCTCCACGTCCCAAGAGCCAGATGTTGCGCGTGCGGACTGGGTCGCCAAGGCCTCTGCCTTCGACTGGCGCCCAGTCCTCTCAGCACCGACCAATGATCTGTAATGGCCATTTTATTTATTCTAAATCAGCATTTCTGAGTCCAATCACCACTAACAATGTTAGTTTAGGGACCGGTCACATTTACTTATAAATAAAATAATTGTATTAATCATAGACATACATAATAGTCTTAAAACTTGAGTCATTTCTGTTTCAACATAAGCCAAGAAAGCTTTTTACTTTGGCATGTCTTCAACATTGATCAGCGTCCAATTGATCAGAGCACTGTTGTATTTTTAGCTGTATTGTTTAGTCAGGAGATTTTGTTCATAAACTGAGAAAGAAATGGCTGTCCATGCAAAGTGCCATCTATTTTTTTTTTGCATCTAATCAAATATCAATGTCTATCCCTGAGTGTTTGGCAGCTGCGGCAGTGAAGAGCAGAGGCTGGCATTCACAATAGAAGCGCTAATCCCATGTCACACACGCCGCTTCCTAAAGAGGAGCTCCGACATGACACGCGACTGTGACAGATGTGTTTGGAATAAGTTTGATCCCGGCTGCAGTTCTGTACCCGGCCCCAGGTGAGGAGATGAGGCACCGCAGACACGATTTGATCCACGCAGAGTTGTAAATGGATTAAAAAGATCCATCGATTTAACCCCGGCGTGTTTGTGCGTCACACTGTGCAGTCGATTCAAATGTCCTGAAATGTTTCAGATCAGGCACGCTGCTGTGAAGTCTGCAGCTTCTCCTGTGACACCATTTTCTTCAAATATCTTGCCAAATACAAGCAGTATATACTGTTGATGCAACGTTTAATATTAGGAATCCCAGAGCAGTCAATTTGATAGCTTCTAGTTTTGGAAGTGTAATTACTCAGCTCATGTACATTTGTGGTCTTAAGTAAGTAGTATTTATTTTTTTATTTATCTTCATAACTCTGTGACTTTTCTTTATCTTGACATTTTCTATTTCTACATCATTATTTTTTTCATAAAATTATCTTTTACTTTTTCAAATGTGCTTGATTTTTTAACTAATATTCCGCCAGAAAATATCAAGTGCTAGTTACCATGTTGCTGTATTTCAGTTTTGGCACCTATTAAAAATAAGATTCGAAAAATAATAAACCTTAAAAAATGCTTTCTTTTAATCTTTCTTGTGAAATAAATTATTTTGGGAAATTACTCAGAATTCCATGAGATGAGACATGGCGTCATAATTAGTTTAAAATACATTTGAAAAAAATATATTCTGTGCAAAGGACTTTTTAAAATCCAATTCAACTAAGTATTTTTGTGTAACCCTAAATCATCACAGCAGTCGTCATGGAGGACTTTCCAAGGTTTTCGATTCCTCAACAACAGAGGTCTGTTTGGTTAATAAATAAATAATACATTCATCTATAGACACACATTTCCAAATGTGGGAGTTTTAAGCCCAATGCATGGACATTATAATGCATGCTCAAGACTTTTGCAAAAGTCTTGAGTGATACTATTCATGCCAGATGTGACATGTATATTTCTCCTGTGTTCGAGATCAATAAAGTCCATCTTATCTTGTTTCATCTTATAATGGTCATATTTTTATTTTTTTCCGGTTCAATTTCAAAAGAATTAGTCAACTGACAAATAACTATTATCCAGGTATTATAGATTAATGACATGAAACTCTGATATGTCAATCATCAAACCCCATCAAAATCAAACCCTACATAGCATTTATTGTAAAATTAGTTAAAGGGAACTTATTTTAAACCTGTTGTTCATGAGAGCATCCGTTCAAGCATGTAAAATAGGAAGGAAATAAGTTGTTACTTTTCATTTCACTGCAACTGAAGCAAAGACGTCCCTTGTTTGTGTTGGGTGGGTACATGATGTTCACAATGCTATCTAAAGAGGATAGCAGACTATTCCAGAAACGTCCATCCAAACCACTACCATCTTGTAAATATTAGAACATTTGCAGGATGTGCTGAATGCAAACGTTGGTGCTGGTTTCTGGCTAAACAAATGGGTAATGAATAAACTCCAGCTGGCGGCGACATTCAAGGATTTGGATTGTAATGATAAAGTTTGGATAAGGAACAGTTTTTTTTCCTTCGCATGTTTAATGATCACAGGTTCTGCATGAGCTGCCCACACATGCTCAGATCCTCGGTGACGTCTCCAGAGAATATAGCATGTTTCACTCATATGTATTAAAGCAAATGTATGTAACCTTTGTCTCAACTAAAATTCTTTGTTAACTCATTTCAACCCATTGTCTGAGGTACCCATTTGAATCACACACAAAAATTAGTGTAATAAAACACATCCTTGCACTCATAACAGTTTAGTGTGTCCTTGAGCAAGACACTTAACCCCACTTTGCTTGAAGCCCCCACTATAAGATCTCAACTCACCACCAAGACTCACCACCTGCAGGAGGATCAGTGAGGGGCTGGTGCTCTGTGCACTGGGTGCTGCTCTGACTGTCACCCCCCCGACCCAGAAATGGATTAAGGGGAAGAAAATAAATGAATCAATGAGCAGCTATTTCAGAGAGAAAAGTGAAGAAGAGAGGACCCCCCTCACTCAACAAAATCAGCTCTCTGCCTCAAGTGTCAAATAAGTGCCCCACAGGGCTCTCTGTTACAGATATGCAAAAGATGACATATAACGAAACAATTACACTTTGTGGATATATCAGCCCATAATGTCCTGTCTTCAAATTTCAGACTCAGAAAACATTATTGATCCCTTAGGGGAAATTAATTTGCAGCATAATCTCAAATATATTTTTTATATACTTGTAAGAAAGAGAAGTGAGATCATTTATGCCACTTTACTTGCTCTGCCAATCATTTCTCAGCATGGTTTTCACTTTTTAATCTAAAAGAACAAAACTAAAGCTGTGAAAGAGGCCAATATCATCATGCATGAACAAGCTATGATGTAAAACCGTTGTAAGCAAGAGAGCAAGAAACGTATTAAAATTACTACTTGATTGAAGCCTTTACTCCCTAATATTGTAACCGTTTTTACAGTGATGTTAAATAAGTAGGCTCACATTTTACAGTGTGAAAAAAGATACTCCAGCTTTAAAATATAAAAATGATATTATGACTGTGCACTCCTTGTTCCTGTGAACAGGCCCAAAGATTGTCCAGTACACTCCGTGCTCCTTTCTTTCCAAAGTGTTGGACAAGTGCTCGGGCCAATTAGAGCAGAGATCCAGCAGAAAACTCTAATGGTGTGAGGAGCTGGAATGTCCTCCGACACAGGCCGTTTGCATGCATCGTTTGACATCATTAAGCAGTTATGAATGCCACTGGTAGGAGACTTTTATGGATAGGTAGTTTTTTTTGCAAATTGTGGGGGAAGAAAGCTAAAAATCTTTTCAACACCTCAGTGTTAACGTGCATAACCATAAACGGATACAGTCGGTTTGTGCCTTGGGATGTATTACTTATTTAAAGCTCCACTGAAGCCACTTAACACAAGCGAGGTTTTGAGATACGCAGCATCAAGTCAATTTATCAAATCAAATGTTGTGAAAATGGCCTTATTTTCAGCATATTTTCTTGCAAGATGTCAAAGAATATTACAATCACCAGCATTTAATGAATTGGCTAATTAGGAAGCACAGTAATATTGTGGGATGTTGGTTTGTGCACAATGTAAGGCTTATTTAAAAGGAAAATAAAGCTGCATAGAGAAATGTATGGCTCAAGAAACAATAAGAACCGTTTGTACCAGTACTGAAAATAACTGATTTTGGAAACAGAACTGAAGCTTGAGCTTTTAAGAGTTAAATTGGGTATCTGCAGTCACTATGGAATCAGAGTTATAAAACCCCTTCTCAGCATATTTAAGTCTCTGAAATAATTGATTAGTTGTAATTAATCTATTAACTTGTCGCAGCCCTGATCAAAGCTTGCCACTTTCACACTTTGATGCATGGAACTGTTGGTAGATCAGTATTGAGGGTTTTAAATGAGATTCTTACTGAGCTCCTGGAGTTGTTTGAGCTGCAGAGTGTCCTCCTCTTCGCCCTCTTCTCCAGAGCTGAAGTGCAGCGTGGAGGCCTCCAGCATAAACCAGCCCTGCCTCCAGTGGTACAGGTCCAGACCTTCTTTAAAGTACAGCTTTCCAATCAGCTCGCTCTCCTTCTGCACCATGCATTCTGCTGTGGCCGGCACAAAGCCCTGCAAAACAAAACAAGGTGAAGGTTCATTCTATGGAGCGGTTTTTGTCTGGCACAACTGTATTCCCTCATCAAATGTAATGCGAGTTATAAATGGCTTCATTCATGCTTGTTTATCTTTTTCATTTACTAATTTGTCTTACTCTAAGCCTCAAAACACAGTAATACCAAATTCATGTGTTCCACTGGTCTTTTTTTGATAACATTTTTAACTAGCCACAGGCTCCAAGTTTGACCAGTGTATTACGGCAATAAGGCAATCTGCCACCTGCTGGTTTTGGCAAAAGACAGACTGACGCACACATTTTGTTCTCCCCTAAAAGAAATACATGGTATAATCATCAAGGGATTATAAGCACAAATAATGGGTAAAACAATTGAACATATGTTCATCAGTGAAAACAGAGTTATAATCACTGGGATACAGGACTATAAATGTACATTGGTTAAACATAGGCCCGGGCCCCCCTGCCCCTAAATCCCCAGCCCTCAACTCTGACAGTACACCCCGGTCTCCCCCCACTCCCCCCCCTCTCCATCACACCGGACTAGGTGAGGAGTGAGCTCAAGCGACTGAAGCAAAGGATATCCGCAGGACTGGACGGGATCAGTCCCAGGCTGCTGAGCTGTGCAGACCAGCTCTCTGAGGGTGTAGATCCTCCTATATCTACACCCTGAGCCTCAGCCTCGAGAAGGTCCCTGTCCTGTAGAAGACCTCCAGTGTGATCCCGGTTCCTAAAATAGTGCACGCCAAGGAACCAGCTCACTACAGATCAGTCGCACTGACCTGATCGCACTGACCTAATTAAGACCATGGAGCGGCTCATCCTCACCCATCTCCGCTCCGTGGTCAGCCCCACCCTGGACCCGCTGCAGTTCGTCTACAGGCCCAACATCGGAGTAGAGGACGCCGTCATCTACTTACTGCCGTGGAAGCTCTCCCACCTGGAGTCTGCCGGGAGCGCTGTGAGGGTCATGTTTTTTGACTTCTCCAGCGCTTTCAACACCATCAGACCGGCACTGCTGCGGGGGAAGATGGAGGACACAGGAGTGGACAGTAACCTCACTGCGTGGACCATCGACTACCTCTCTGACCACAGTACGTGCGGCTGCGCAGCTGTGAGTCTGAGGTGGTAGTCTGCAGCACTGGGGCCCCTCAAGGCACTGTCCTCTCACCGTTTCTCTTCACCATCTAGACTTCACATACGACACACGCAGCTGCCACCTGCAGAAGTTAGACCAAGGAGATGGTCATCGACTTCAGGAGAAAACCACTTTCCCACACGCTGCTAAACATCCAGGGGGAGGACATTGAGCTGGTGGACAGCTTCAAGTACCTGGGTGTTCACATTAACAATAAACTGGACTGGTCCCATAACACCAACGCCCTGTAAAAGAAGGGCCAAAGCCGCCTCTTCCTTCTGAGGAGGCTGAGGTCGTTCGGAGTGAGCAGGCCTCTGCTCAGGACCTTATATGACTCTGTGGTAGCCTCTGCCATACACTACGCTGCCGTGTGCTGGGCCCCGGGCAGCACAGAGCGAGAAAGGAGTAGACTGAACAAGCGGGTCAGGAGGGCCAGCTCCACTCTGGGCTGCCCCCTGGACTCTGTGGAGGAGGTGAGGGACAGGAGGGGGCTAGTCAAAGTCACCTTCATCATGGACAACACCTCCCACCCACTGCACAGGACTGTAGAGGAGCTGAGGAGCTGCTTCAGTGGAAGGCTGAGGCACCCTCAGTGCAAGAAGGAGCGCTACCTCAGGGCCTTTATCCCCACTGCTGTCAGACTGTACAATAAGTCACTTTAAGTCACTTGCACTAGGACTAAAAAACATGCACTACTATTGACACGGTTTCTTTGATTGCCACGTTTTAATTGCCATTTTTATTGTATATAATATATCCTGCATTTAACATGTTTGCACATTTCTTTCTTTTGCACAATCTTGAGTGAGATCAACAAAGTCTATCTTATCTTATCTTAACAATGGTGACGTGATCTTTTGAAGTGGTGAAATAAAAAAGTTCATGTATTCCACAAAAGCATTTCGCGTCAATTCTTCCGTCCATTAAACTGTACATGTAACGTCACCAATGACAAGCTCTATGAAAATATTTTCAGTGCATTTTGCAAATTAACAATAAAAAATAGTTTTGCGCTATCTGCACTTTCTTATTAGGATAACAGTTGCAACATGCCCAGAATAATACATCTCACTCCTGGATTGATAAAAAGAGCCCAATTCAAACCACAGCTGAATTTATTGACACCAAATGAATGCAAATTGAAGCAATTTTTCATTTAAAACTTTTTAGGGAACAGCTGCTAAATGTTGGGTCAAGTTCGGTCGAGCTCTTTTGTCCAATTGCGCTGTGTCCAGCTATTGTTTTGTGTTCCAACAATCTATAGATGCAGGCTTGTGCTGCAGATGGCATAGCATATGGACCAAAACAGCAATAACACCCACAATCTCAGCATAGCTGGCTGGGACTGGAGGAGGAATTATAGAGGAAATTGTGGTGGCTATTTAAGCTACACAAGGTTGGCAAAGAGACGGACAGAACATTGGAGGACTTGTTGTACAATTATCACTACACTAGTGGATAGATTTGTAAATATTAAAATAATGTTTTAGGGCATGTAGCAGGAGAAGCATGTCACCTTGGCCAGCGCCTGGATCCAGTCACGCTGTGTTTCTTGAGTCTCGGCTCCAAAAATCACAACTCGTTCCGTTTTCAAATACAGCTCCACAGTGAACACCGCCCTGCATAGGAACACACAACATTCTTTATCAGATTGAGATGAAAATGTACATACATCAAGACAGAATACAATTTATTCTTGTGCAATTGTAACAACAGGCCGCATACATGCGTTATTGGTTACGATACTTCAGCAATCATTAATAATAGTTCACCTGGGAAGCATGTGAAAAGATCACTAGAATGAATCTACTGTCACGTTTTACTATTTAATATATCGACTGTTAACTAGTAAATTCAGTCAGTTGTGCTTAAAAGTTTACACATTGATGCTGAAATGTAAAAGTCTTCGCGAGAATTTGGAGATTATGATTGCTTATGTCATTTAATTTGAGATGAGAAAACTCATTTATAATGACAACATAAACAACTGTTCTGACCCAGACTAGACACTCCTTTCTAAGCAAAATGGAGCTGGGTTTCTGGACAGGCTCTTTCTGAGCTGAGTTTTTAATGTTCTCCCTGTGTAAGTTTCCTCCAGATGCTTCAGTTACCCCAACCACTAAAACAATAGCCCCCATGTCTCTGGGGCCTGGAATCCCCTGCAAGAGAGGAATTTTATGAAGTGAGGGCTTGTTTCCTACAGCAGGTAACTTCACCATCAAATAGGATAAAGAACCTAATCCACAACATCAAAAATACATGAAGTTGACATTATGCACAATCTGGCCCCCACAAAACGAAAGACATAATATTCACGTGAACAGGTCATGGCAAATTTGAATTAGATCAAATTAGTTTGGACTAGCTAACATCTGTGGCTTGGCGTCTTTGTTGTGACGCACGTTGTCATTTAAGATGCTCTGTATGATTTCTTTCAGGTCTGAAAAAACTGAAATACATAATATTCAGGGAACCTGTGCGCAAAATTACGTCTGGTAATTTTTGACAAATATATGGCTTCACAAAGAAGTTGGTTCAATAAATCAATCCACAGAACACGGCCAATGACTGGGTGTGTAAACTTTCGAGAACAACTGTGTAAAAAAATACTGATGCTCTTTCCACCGTTCCACTACCACCACACACACTTTCACAACGCAAAACATTTTGTGATACCAGCAGCAAAAAGGCAGCTATTAATCTTTGGTCTTTGAGCTGGAGTTGCCTGCATTTCTTTCACTACTTCCAGCTCAGTTTCTCTTTTGGAACCAGCACAGGGGTCAGCATATCAGTATCTTAATGGCCGGCCCACTCCGCAGATCGGGGCTCCTTTCCCTGGCTCTCAGCGGCACAGGAGAGGGCTCTAAATGCTGCCTGGATGGGTGTTTAAGGTATGGAGTCACGGGGTCGGTCTTCTTCATGTCATGGGAACGGCGCAGACATGGATGTTTACGTGCCCTGGCCTGGCCTGACCCCCCCCTTTCCTTCTCCCTTCCTCCCCCCGGCTCCTGGCTCCAGGTGTGTGGAGCTCGTTAAGGAGGCTCCGCTGGGAAAGGAGCGGGAACAGGTTACGGGGAGAGGAGAGCGTGGAGATGTGGAAAAGGACAACGGAAGCATTATCAGAGGCCTAATGGGGAAGGACTGAAGCGCTGGAGCAAACGCCAGAGTAATGACGAAAATAAATAATACAAGTTCTACAGATACCAAAGTGCATGCCTCCAAAAAGATATATAGCCATTAATATTAAATAAAATGGCAATAACATACTGTAGGTGATACATTGTGCTGGATTTCACACATTATTAACTTAATGAGATTTGTACACATTGGGCCTCATGTATGAAACTTGCGTACGGCCAAATCAGGGTGTAAATGATGCGTACGCAAAAAAATTACACTTTTCCGCATTTATCAATCTGGACGTGAGCGTACGGTATGCACAGAATTTACACCAAGTCAATAGGTGGTGTAAATGTGTACGCTCATTTCACCCTTCGTCACAACACGCCAAAACACACATGAAATTCAAGATTTTGACAACAATAAACATATTCCCACTCTGGCAAGATAATAAGCTGTGTTTTCATTGCGCATCATGTTTCTAAATTTGAATTTGCGCATCAGAAAAACAAATGGAAACACACAAACTTTGAATAAATCACAGATCATGATGAGATCGCCTCTTCTGTTTCTATGATTTTAAATTTGACTTGTGTATTATTTTGATCTGTTTTGAAAATGTGAAGCGCTTTGTGATTCTGCACTGTGAAAGGCTCTATACAAATACACTTTACGCGACAGGGATGTGTGACCCATCTATTGCTTTGTAAATCTGTGGCAGGCCTGCATGCGTTGCGTAATTACGCACGGCTATCTGTTTATCCTCATTCACATCTGGTAAAGCAATGTATTATTTCATTAGATTTGTGTAAGCCTCACACAGACACACACAAACGCACCGATGGATGGTATTGCTCACTCCAAATGTCTCACTGCTCTGTCCAGACTCACTGCTCTGTCCAGAGTGTGCAGCGGGTCCGTGAGAGGTCGCGCCGCAAAACTCTTGTCATTCAGAAGTTTTGGCTCCAGAGTTTCTTTGTAAAATCTGGATCGCAAAAGCTCTCTCAGTGTACAGTGCTTCAATGCGCACTTCTACCCCGAGCCAGGCTGCGTCCAAGACGCTGCAGACGCTTCATTGATGAGAGCCACCGCTGCGATATACAGTATATATGAATTCATTCATTCATTCTTTATCTCTTCACTTCTACAATTCAAGAGAGATTTTTCTAATGTAGCAAATTTTTGCACATTTGTTCAAAACGCAGCTGAATATATAGCTTTTTTTTTTTTTTTGAACATAAACATGAACAAACAAACGTGCCTTTTGAGGCTTTCAAACAACTATCTTTTTGGCTGGCTTCCTGCTGACCTGTCGCAAAAACGGGCGTGAAACACGCGATTGCTGCATAATTCTAGGCGTGACTTTCATAAATACATTCGTTTTCAGCCGCGGCATTTATCAACACCCGCAGGTGCGTACGCACAGATCTGGGTGGATCTCACACGTTCATAAATCCGACGTTCGATTTTGCGTAAATGGAATATACACTTAAAATGTACACCTTTTTCTACGCAAGTTTCATAATGCCATGTCTTGATGTAATAAAAAATAAGCAGGAACTTTTTTCAATGAGGTAAGAATAAGGCCTTTTGTTTTGTCTTTAAATATGAAAGCTATAAATGATATATTCTTGGTCAAATATAGAAATAAATGGGACCTAAAACTATTTCATAATACATTCAAGTAGAAAAATTAACCAACTTCTATCATTACTGTTTAATTATCATTACTATTATTTAAAAAAAATATATCAAAAACAGGTCCAGAACATACAAAAAGGAAAAAAAAACCTAAAACCACACAATCGACACAAAAACAAATAAAATACATAATATTTCTAATGTATCGATGGACAATTTTAAAAATGAAATGTAAATAAAAGGAATAACAAAGTGCCAGTGAGAACTGCCAGTTTTGCCCTTTGTTTTACACTCATAACTTTAGATTCAAAAAAAGCTAAATTATTATTGAAATAAGAGATGAAGGCAAGTTGACTGGAGTCTTCAGAGAAAAACATATAATAAAAACATGACTTTAGAATATGCACCAAAAGATAACAGAGAGGCTTATAAAATCAAACGAATGGATCGATAATTCACTTTTCTTGCAGGAGTTATTAGCATATCCCTGGTTTAAATATATATAGACAGGAATTCATAAATTTCCATGTTGGCATGTCGGAGAATGGGATTTCAAGTGGAAGCTGCAATACAGGGAAAAAAGTCAGGGAAAGCTCCATTTCAAAGCTTTTAACTTGATATTGAAGGTCAAAATTTAGCACAAAATGTTCTTGTTAAACAGGCAGATGACTGGAAAAACTTATCACCCCCCAACATTCTCCCTCCTGCATTAGCAACAGCTCTTCTGTAATATTCACACAACTTCGGGATGTGTTCAGGGACGCGCTGTAATTCACGGTGTCCTCTTGCTACGCTCAAATTACCCAAACGCTGCGTTTAATGGAAGCGACACCTACAACCTCCTGTAGCTCCACGATAGGCCGGCGTTCGCAATATGCCATCTGCATACATTATATATTTATGAGAAGTGTAAAGGTGAGGCGCATCATGTTTCTAAATTTGAATTTGCGCATCAGAAAAACAAATGGAAACACGCAAACTTTGAATAAATCACAGATCATGATGAGATCGCCTCTTCTGTTTCTATGATTTTAAATTTGACTTGTGTATTATTTTGATCTGTTTTTAAAATGTGAAGCGCTTTGTGATTCTGCACTGTGAAAGGCTCTATACAAATACACTTTACGCGACAGGGATGTGTGACCCATCTATTGCTTTGTAAATCTGTGGCAGGCCTGCATGTGTTGCGTAATTACGCACGGCTATCTGTTTATCCTCATTCACATCTGGTAAAGCAATGTTTTATTTCATTAGATTTGTGTAAGCCTCACACAGACACACACAAACGCACCGATGGATGGTATTGCTCACTCCAAATGTCTCACTGCCCTGTCCAGACTCACTGCTCTGTCCAGAGTGCGCAGCGGGTCCGTGAGAGGTCGCGCCGCAAAACTGTCATTCAGAAGTTTTGGCTCCAGAGTTTCTTTGTAAAATCTGGATCGCAAAAGCTCTCTCAGTGTACAGTGCTTCAATGCGCACTTCTACCCAGAGCCAGGCTGAGTCCAAGACGCTGCAGACACTTCATTGATGAGAGCCACCGCTGCAATATATATACAGTATGAATTAATTCATTCATTCATTCTTTATCTATTCACTTCTACAATTCAAGAGAGATTTTTCTAATGTATCAAAACATTTTAGCAATTTTTTTCAAAACGCAGCTGAATATATAGCTTTTTTTTTTTTTTTTTACACAAACATGAACAAACAAACGTGCCTTTTGAGGCTTTCAAACAATCTTTTTGGCTGGCTTCCCTGCTGACCTGTTGCAAAAGCGGGCGTGAAACACGCGATTGCTGCATAATTCTAGGCGTGACTTTCATAAATACGTTCGTTTTCAGCCGCGGCATTTATCAAC